TGTCCATGCACAGATTCGGTCCCAAATCGTTTGTTTTCTTTGTTTGGGTACCAGTTTCCCATCCTTTTCATTCTTTGCTGTTTTGATAATTTTATCGCAACTATAACTTAAGCTGACTAATAAATAAAAAGCAATGGGGTAAGGGGGACGGTTGGTGATGGGATCACTTAGCAATGAGACTAAATTGGTACAGGAATCTTTCACATGGCAGTTTAGGTGGTGGTCCAGGAGGACTCGTTTACTGAAGATGTCTCCCTCACATGTGGTAGTTTTGTCTTAATAATGTTCTCTTTTGTGTATTTGAACTTTTTAGTTTTTATTAATGGAAATCTTGGAACTCATGTCAAGTGTGACCAATGAATGATAAACATTGTAGTTCATTAGATTGAGATAAGTAACTAATAAAACATAGTAACACGTAGCTACTCAAGAGGGTCCAATTACAGCTTACTAAATACTCAAATTTGGATTTTAACTTAAAAAATAAAATATTAAGATTTGGATTAAATGGGAGCAGAATCTTGTTCGCATCTTGATGGCATATGTAATTAATTAAAATGGCTTGCACATAATTATATGCATCCATATTAAAAGAAGGAATTGAGTTATTACATCAGTTTTTCTCTCTACTAATTATTCCATTTCTCATCTTCTACCTCTGACAAACCCTAGTGGCAATGGGATTCGATCCTACATTTATACACCAATAAAGCAGGATCCTACCAATTGAATCATCAATCAATTGATGATTAAGTGGTAACCCTGCCAAACTAGGCTTTGAATGTGCCAAGGGGTCAGTTCTGCCTGATTGTCTGAATTGAATTGATCATGTCAGTTCTAGTTCCATGATTTTGCTCCAATTAATACTTGGGTTGTTTTTTATTATTGTATGTCTTAAATGGATTATTTTATTAAATGTATATAAGGTTTTTTAGTTTTCTTGTAATTTTTATAATATTTTATATTTGAAATGATAAATTTATAAATAATATATAAGATAATAAATCAAGTCTATTGGGTTAGACTTAGAGCCAGTTTGTTTCCTCTTAACTCTTATTTCTTAAAAAGAATCTTTTAACTTTAAGAGAAAAATGATTGTTCGTTTCCTGTTATTTATTAAAGTGTAAATAACTCTTATTTCATTAACAATTGTTCGTTTCAACTACATCAATATAACCCTTTTCGTTAATGATATAATAATAAACAGACCAAATCTTTACCAATAAATTTACTTTTAATTGATAATTAGCATTTGCTTGTATACGTAGGATGAAACTTGGATCTGATGCCTTCTCTTCAATCGTTAATGAAAAAGAAAAAGGAACAAAACAGACTCAAGCTGTTGAATGCTAACAAAGCTAGTGAAACAGGCAACGAGTTGAGTGTTGAGGCATTAATTTACAGCTTGAACAAAGTTTACCTACACAACATATAAAAAACGCGAATGATATATAAATATAAAATATTAATAAAATTAATTTTAAATTTAATTAAAACGGGCAAAGAATCAAATTGGTCAAAACTTCTGAAATTTAATCTAATAATCTAAAGATCTAGGTTCTAAATATCAAAATGTATCGTCAATGCATATCAGTGATGCATATTGATTTTCAGAATCATCAAGACCCTGAATAAAAAGTGTATGGAATATCACATCCGCTATAGCCTTCGCTGTCTGGGTTTAAGTTCAGAATTTTTTGGATCAATGAGACGTTGGGATTCAGGCATCCATGGGTGGTGTTACTTCTTTCCACGCAGCGCCCATTTTGGAGGGCTGAAGTTTTAGTTGAGTTTCTTCAGAAAAATCACTGAAAGAGTCTTCAACGGAAAGCTGTTTTATTTTTATTTGTTTTTTTTTTTTCACCAGACATTACTTACAGGCTGTCTAAGAGAAGTCACCTTACAACGCCAAAAGCCACAATGGGAAGAGAGTTTGGTTTCAGTCAGTGCAAGTCCATATTCACACCATTTAAACAGTCTCTTGCAATCTTGTATTGAGAATATCTCCTCATAAAACAAAATACATAAGTATAGAGATATTCCCAATGCTAGGCTGCAAAGACTGTTTGAACGGGGTTATACTGACGGAAGCCCTCTCCCAAAGGGGGCACGCCATTAACTGCTAATCTGAGATTCAAGGAACAATAACCATGCAAAGAATAGTTGTTTCTTGTTTGTGTCTCAACTGGGTCCTCAAAAGGTGTCCAGATTTTCTGCCCATTACTCTCTACTCACCTTGATGTACATTGCCATTTTGTATTGTGAGATGTGCCTTGCTTTATATTGTGAATAGGGCATGGATAAAAGTGATTATGAAATCTGAATTCCCTCAAAAAGGTCAACAAATACAACCCCACATCTAGTAAGCCTTTTATTGGGCCAATAAACTAGCCACAACTTGATCCATTACTTCTGTAAATGGCTAAATGCTCAAGTGCTAATTGAACTAATGCTTAAGCTGTGTTTGGTTGCAGTGCAATTTTATTTGTATTAATACAAATGTATGGGAGCACAAATGAAAAAAATGCAAATTCTTGTTTAATTTTATTTTGATTTTTAATTTATTCTGCTTTATGTCTTAATTTATTTTATTTGTATTGCGACCAAACAAAGTAAGCTAAATTTTGAAACACAAATAGGTAAGAATTTACACTCAAATCATTCGTGTTGCCATAATTTTACATAAATGCAAATAAATTTGCATTGCAATCAAATACAGCCTTAGGGTCAGTTGGCCTAGGAGTCCACTTCCATTTGATCTTTATGGCCATTAACCCAAATTATTCCAAGGCCCATGCAGGCACGGCCCACTTCTTTGGTTCTTCATAGTTATCCAAATATCAGCCCAAGCTGTCAAAAACTAAAAGGGATTTCACCTCTATGATGATGGCTTGGCTCTAAGTGTTTTTTATGGTATTTGATTTTGTGGCCGTTTATTTGAAAACTGGTGTCAATTCATTGTTATATAAACATTTATTCAAAAATGTTATTTGATAATAATGTTTATTAAATAAATATTTTATGTGTTTGTGTAAGAGCCAACAGTTGAAAGAAATACTATTTTTAATATTTCTCTAACACCAAACTGTTCATTTGTTATTCAGCTTATGTGACACCTTTTAACTGTCAAGTAACACTAATAAACGTTTATCAATCGCTTTCTTATTTTCTACAAATATTTATTAAATAAACGGTCATGGTACCAAATATCTTCCTTGTTAAACATGTTACCGGGCTAATTTGAGCTTTGTCTGGGTCTGTGCCAAGACTTATATATCCGATCGAAACCCAGCACGTAATAGTAATAAAATAATATAGGCCCATGGATGCAATTAAACTGAGGCGTGAATGAAGCCGCTACATAAGTTTTGAATATGGTGCAAGTGTGAGCTATCATGGAGCCATGGACAGACTCTGGGCTTTATCCTTTTCAAATAACAACGCAGAACTTGGCCCAGTGGATCTGTATGTATTGACTGACCATGGATTGTTAAAGAGTTGGGACAAGGGCCCATTGTTCATTTAGCCCATTAAGCTGCTTTTTCCAATTGGCTGAGATAGGTGATTCTACGGTAAACATGTTTTGGGAATGCATAAGTACTTATTCTAATAAGCACTATGAGTGTTTGGTGAAAAAGTATTTATTTCAAACAGAGTAAAACAGAATAATATAAGTATTTTAAAAATGATGTGATAGAAGACAAATTAGAAAAGAAATAAATACTTATTGAATAAATATAAAAAATAAGCCCAAAATTTAGGTTTTTTGAGTAATACTTATTTTTATGTATACACTTATTTGGGCCTTTCCTAAACACAAATAAGTGCTTATTAGTGTGGTCCCAACTCAAAATAAGTACTTTGTCAAATAAACACATTAAAATAAGCACTTCCAAAATACTCGTGTCTTTTAATTGGCAAAATGTTCAGTTTCAACCATTGTTTCAGAATGCTATTGAGGTGAGGTCAAAGGCCTGAGTCTTGAGGCGAGGCTAAGAAAAAAAGGCCTGGCCTCAATAGCCTCATACCCTACTAAGAAGGCTTAGGCCTTGAGTTATTTGAGGCTTACACCTTTGGGCCCTTGACCTCAAAATGTTCAAGGCTTGGGCCTCAATTGTTTGACATGTTAAGGTTAAATATGAAGGTTTATATAAGGCTAAAACAAAAATTTAAGGAAAAAAAACAATGCTTTGTTTTGTATAGATTAGTGTATTGAATAAATAAATAAACATGCAAATAACAAATAAATGCATGTAAATGTTTAAGAAAATAGCTTGCTTTATTGCTCATATTCTGTATTGTTCATGCTTTTATTTTTCTTACCCACTTGCCCACTTCCCCATACTTGATGATTTATTTTACATCACATAGTTGGTCATTATTCACTATGTATATAAGTGCAAGAAACTAAACTAGAATGCTTTATTCTTAAAAGTTGGTTCATGTCCCTGAACTGAAAGTCGGATCAAAGTATCGATCCAATATGCATTGGGGGTACTGATGCCCATTTCTAAGGCATTTAAAAAACTATTTTTGTTAATTAAATAACATATAACTAACCATGCTTTTGATGCAAAATTTTGAAAAAATTTTAAAAAGGAGATATGTATAGTTTAAAGTGTTTAAATATTTGATACACCCCTTTCGGCATATTAATACTAATTTTGTGTCTAATATATCAAATAAATTATATAAGATTTTAATTTTATGTTTTCCTTGTTTTTATTGTTTTATTCTTGCTTTTTTACTTGAGACTTTTGCGCCCCTATGAAATCCAATCACCTCGCCTCCCTCTGCTTTTACCCTTTTTTAAAACCTTCATTTTAGCCATTAATGGGATTTTTTATAGATAAAAAATTTTTGGAGTTTTTCCGTTTCACTTCATCCCAGAAATCCTAATTCAATATTATAATTCAGGACAAATGTCAGTTCCAAATTGATGCCAATTCGCGGGTAGAAATCTTATAGATTGGTGTTATTTACGTACTTTTGCTCCACCCAATTTGACTCTTGAGTCTAGACCCTAATTTTTTGGGTCGAGTTGGATTGAGGATGGCCCGACCTAAACCTATTGAAATGAGGCGACAGAGCATCGCTTTTTTCCACGAACCTGCGATTCATGGGGAATGTACGGATGTTCCTCAAAGGACGTGATCGGAAAGAAAAGTTCGTTTTATGCTTCCGTTCCCGGCGTCACTAGCGGCACCAAGTTCCTCTGCAGGCTGGTCCCATGACTCGTCAATCGTAAAGCGTTTCTGTTAAATATCGTATTGTAACTCATCCTCTCCATCTTCCGGCGTCTCGTACCCTACATCTTTGAAAAAGCAGAAGAAAACCCTTCATGTTAAGTAAAGTTCGATTACCTTTCTGAGTCCACTTCTCTATATTCCTGCCTTTTTTTCCCTTTTCATCTTTCGTCGGCATTTGTTTGTAAAGGAAAAGAAGAAAGCAAGTGAAGTGGTTCGTGGGTTCTTTTTGGGTGGCTTGTATGTCCAATTCGCATTTGAAGCCATTAACTAACAAACCCTTATAAAAAGGATCGAAGGATCTATCTCCTGAACTCGCTCGAATTTTTCATGGTAATCTATCGTTACTTCCCAAGAACTAAGGAGTGCCTTATTTTATTTTTGATGTTTTGAGTTGTTTATCATTTTGACGACGATTTAAGAACGGAGCTTGATTTGGGAAAGCTTTGATAAATTATTTTTCTTTTGTTTACTTATTTATGTTCCTTTAAAATTAAATTTGCAGATACACGAGCTTGTAGTTTTCTTGTTACTGAGCCAGTGAATCTTGGAAGTTGTTCATAGAAACTATTATGCAACATTAGGTTAAACTCATAATTACTGACAGATAGTTTTATCGGGATTTTGACTGTTATAGGTTTTTCTAGGCTACGGTCTGAAAAGGGTTATTTAACCTCTTACAACTGCGTACTGCCATTAGTTTGTTTGTGCCGAAAGGTTCAAATTAGAGATTTGATTTGTCGCATGATGTTTGTAATCTCTAAATCTGATACACCTTGACCTTGTATGGGAACCTCTTACATGCTCGACCATGTTCAAAGGAGCGGTCATACAAACATTTTATTAGCATGTTACCGCCCCTGCTACCTTGAAAAGTAAACTAGCAACCAATGATTCCTGATTGTCAAAATGCATACTTTTGTCTCTGAAGTGCCCAAGTCACCTCCTAAAATACACTTCTCATGGGCTTTCTGTGCAATTCACTGTGCTTAATACCGATTTGTATTTGATCTCTAAACTCCTTGCACACTGATACATCCTTTTTCTACTGAATTACTTATCCTTAATGCTTATTATTATTCCTGCATAAAACAAAATATACCAGAGGTCAAACCATATTCTATGGGTTAATAATTGATCTGTCCTGAATCCCAAGTTCTAACATATTTATCTCCAACCAGGCCTTTTTAGATTCAATTTGTGTAGTGAATTTTGTGCACTTTTTTTTCTTATCTTTTGAATTCTTAAGGGGCTGTTACCCTGAGAATCTTCAGTTGTGTTGTGTAAAATGCTTGCAGATAGATGTGCTACTCTTAATCATCATGTTGTAATTGGAAATTGAAAGTTTTAGGTGTTATTTGATTTCACCTTTTATGTATACTCACTGCTTATTTATTCTTTCCTACTGAAGGCTATTCCTTTCATATAACTTTTTGCTATACTGAGCAATGCTATCTTCTTGTTTCAATACAAATTAGAAGCTAGAAATGAGTACCCCTCATGTTCAATATCATGCTTTGGAGATCGTTTTGAAGGATATCCTTTCTGCAACCAAACCAAGACAAGAGGATTGTGCCATTCGAGTCCATATAATTAACGAGTTCCGAGCTGTGGTTGAATCTGTGGAAAGTCTGCGAGGTAATTAGTTCTGTAGTTGTTTATGATATTTAATCTTACATAACATTTTGTTATACAAAGGAATTCATTTTGACTCAATTCTCAATGTTTACTCCACAACAATGAAATAGTCTTGGTGGACCATCAGATGACAAATTATATTCCACTTCTAATGCATTGTGGTTCAATGACTTATACTTTACCTAAAAAACGTAGATCAATTACTGATAACCTGACATTATCCAAAAAAAAAAAACTGATAACCCGACCTCATTTTCACCCTCTTGTGTGAAAGGGATGCCATTTTTGGCTTGACTACATTCCTAATTCTTGTTCCATACTAGCAAAACTTAATGTTATCTTTTTGTTGGATGACATAGATTATATCCTCCATTTACTTAGACATGGATAAGGTGAATTTAATATCAATTCTAGAGATATTGTCTCTTCTTTTTGGAATTGGCCTGATATATTTGTTTAGTTAGCAACTGTAGGTAGTATGATCCTGCATGGTTCTCAACACCCAGAATGCAATTGACATTATCTAAATGAATAAGAAAGGACCAATAAAATGTTCCAAGCCTCTTACAAAGTAGAGAAAATGGCAAAGGCCTTGTGTCTTAGTGTTCTTCTTTTAATGTGCCTTTAATACTGGGAGCCTGTGATATGTAAACGTGGAGAAATAATATTTGGATAACTTAGAGGGACTTTAACTAATGGATAGAGGTGGAACCCCCTGCCAAATGTGCAAAGAATGTTTGACCCTACCTTTGTTAATTAGCATAAATAAGAAGAGGGGAAGAACTTTATGGAGATGTACAAGGGCCGCAGTTTGCTGGGCATTATGGGAAGAAAGAAATCAGAGGTTGTTTGAAGATAAAGTAAGAAGTAGGGATGCCCTAATTGACGTAATTGACATCATTACATTATGGAGATACATAGGGTGAAATCTATGAAGCTCTTTGATGGAATTCCTGCTGCCAATTTGATGAGAAAATGGGGAAAAGTGGCTGACTTTGTTCCCATGGAGGTAACAATGCCATCTTGGACTCCCCCCAGAAGTGGATTTGTTAAATTGAATTTTGATGGTAGTAGTGAAGGTAATCCTGGACCATTGGGCATAGAAGGAGCCTTTAGGGATGGGGATGGCAGAATAATGGCTCTATTCTCTGGTCCTATTGGTATTGGGGATTCTTTAAGAGTTGAAATATTAGTTGCGGTTGGAAGGAATTAAGGAAGCAAAAGAATTAAATCTCTCTAAACTGATAATTGAAGGAGATTCAAAGCTGGTTATTGACTGGCTCCAAAAGGAGGAGAGAGGGTGGTGGGACTGCATCAATGAGAAAAAGGAAGTTTAGATTCTTGACACAAGGAATGAAAATTTAGTTGATTTGGTTTAAGAGGGCTGCCGACTTTTTGGCTGACACATTGTCCAAACAAGGGGTGGGAAGAAGCAATATATTTTGGGCCATGTTGTAATTTTTTATTGCATATGTTCAGTGGAGCTAAGAAAGTTTATCTCCCCTTTGTATTCTCTTTTATCCTTTTTCTATTTAGTGAATTGATTTTCAGTTATTGATAAAAAACTAATGGATAGTCTATGTTGGCCACTTCATCTCTCTGTATGCTTGAGATTGTATAGTCATCTGTAAAATAAGTATAAGTAAGATTTATATAACCTTTTTTTTTCTGTATATGATTTATGGACAAATTCAAAAAGAAATCTGATAATTGAATAATATAGGATAAGAAATTATGCACTAATAAATAAAAAATGATCAACAAGCGAAAATATATTAAAAATATGATAAAGAAATGGCTGGTTCAACTCTTGCATCTTTTTATCTGGGTAACTTGGTGTAGACACCCATTCAAATACATGCACACACACACACACAGCACAGTACATGCAATCAAGGCTATATTTTATATGTACTAGGTATAACTTAGCGGTGGAGCCAGGGATTTTTTATGAGGGGGACCAAAATCTAAACTTGGGGGGGGGGGGAACCA